TGTTTATAAATTCCCTCGTCAATAAATCATACAACGTAAATGTCACGTTCTAATTCAGTTTCGAAAGGCTACAATTAAAAAGTAATACAAACGATATCATAACTTGATTAACAGCCAAACCCACGTGAATTTCATCGCCAAAGACTAGAAAACAAACTTGCGTACACATTGGGAAACATGTGATAGATTCGTAATCAAACACGACAGGAGGCAATCACTCTCAGATGAAAAGAACGCCACGGTTGCTCGGCGAACGGTTCTCGTTAAACTCGCGAACGATTCTAACGATCTTGCTACAACGAATATCCTCCATTGCGGCCCACGAGAACGCAAGTTACAGTCGCGAGATTTGTCAGTCGAGGAACTGCACCAATACCGCGAACGACGTTACGATCGGTCGTGTTTCAAACACGAAGGCAATACACCAGCACAACTTATGAATATTTACACCGGTTGAATATGCATACCACTGACAATGTATTATTTTTGCTCGACGGGGGATCGATACAACCCCCGCGCGGCACACATTCGACCGCGCACCGACTCCCGCCATTTGATACAGTCTCGCGCAACAGAGAACTACATAAGTAGGCGGGTTACCTGGTCACGTATATGGGGTGAACTCATTTGATTTGATGCCTCTTGTTAAAATTAGCGGTTCTTGAAGAGTTGGGCGGTATAAAATCGTACAATTTTAAAGGAGACAGCGTGAATTAAAATTTTATAGAGAGGCGTCTTAAAGTCACCAACTATTTTTCTGATTCCGCTGCATTAAATTTAGCTCGACGACTTTTGCCGATTTTATTGGTTTTTTGAGAAGATTTATGGTATAAAAATTATGCTATTTTAGAAGTGAAGAAATGGATTTGAAATTTTATAAGAGTAAGTACTTTGAAACTTTGAAGGTAAAGTTGAATTATTTCGCAAATTTTATTATGACAATTCGATTTGTGATAAATTTTTCCACGAGATTAACTTTACTGCGACGACATTTATATTTCGATCCTCTTCTCGTACAAATTCCTTCGCAAGAATTGAAGACAAAATATTTCCAAAAAATTTCTCTACGTGTTCTTCCTCCCGTTTCAATATCACGCAGATATTTTCGTGGCATATCAATCCCGGACGATAACGATATTGACGTAAAATCGTCACGGAACATTCGAACGAGCTCACCGTGTATAAGCTTATTCGCAAAGAGAGCACCGAGGCCACAGGGTGCAGAGCGAGAGAGCGCTGCGCGCACGACCGCATTCTGTTCCGGTGAACGATGGAAACTCGTCGATCGTGACTAAAACGTGGACGATGGCCACTGTATTTTTTTCAACCTCCTACCGGGTGTATTTTATCGCGCGAAATGTACAACTGGAATCGAAACGTCACGACTCGATTTATGGCTGTGCACCGGCCGACAGTCGTTCTCCGCGAATCTAACCGCCGACTAGTCATTAGCAAATAGATCGCGACTAAAGAAAAAAAGGGAGAAAAGAAGGGAAGAAAAAAGTAAGCGGGCTTGCTAGCGATAGTGATCAGCGCTCCGTATCGTTCGCATCGCGTTTATATCAATTAGGCTCTTTCCCTGACAGAAAGATAGGAAGAAGGGTGAAAGGGATGAGTTGACACGACGAGATTTTAGCAGATATTTTCAGCCGGCTGCGCTTCAAGTAATCCGGACTGGTCTCAACCTTTCCTGGGGCTCGTTCCAGAAAATGGCGCGTTTAAACTGCAAATGAAAAATAAGAAGATCCGACGAGCAATCTCGGATTAGACGTCTAGCGACTGTCTTGCAGGAAACAACGCGAAGGACAGATTCCGTCCAAGAAGGTTTTTCAAGCACTCCGGTGTAATCGTTCTTGAAGTATAGAATCATTTTAGGCTTTTTAGAATAAGATTAAATCTGTATCTCTGTTTGTATTTTATAAATATAAGCTTCTACTTATGAATACGAAACAAAAAGAACTCCGTTCTGTTTTCTCTTTCTAACTTGAAACTGAAATTCAGAATCAGGTTGCCATTGTTAAAGAGTAAAGGAGAATAAGAAAACTAAATACGTAATGTTTAAGCAAAGCATAAGCAAACTCTTCTTTCTTAAATGTCTCTCGAATTTCAGTCACGTTTATATCGTCGTCTGTACACTCAACGAGAGCAAATAAACTACAGCTCCTATTTAATGTTTACTAGTTTAACACAACCGTAGACCAAAATGCGAGTGAAAATACAGAATTTAAAAGCTTAAGCTGGATACACAAGCCCTAGTTCTCTTTTATTTAAGAGTAGTTCATCAAATATGTTAACTCATAAAACAGTTTCATAAACAAAGATGCTCTTTTAACAATACCAAAAGACAAGGAACGCACACGTTACTTTAATTCCATTTCGTCCTTTCATAAAAATTAGTCGCAATCGGTCTGAAAAAGGACCGCGAGAAGCTTGTTGCAGAGTTAAGTGGCCGAAGAACGCGATCCAATCGAGAAGGATCAACTATTAAACAGGATGACGTGCTATTTCTCGAGTCGGTTTTCGCGGTGAAAGGAGACCGCGGTAGGAATTTAATGCGCGACCAGGCTTGGCCCGGGAAAAAAGGGACCCGTTGCAAGTCCCATAATTCAATTAAACCCACTGCGTCGGTATTTAATGGGCCGCGACGCTGTAACTTCGTTTTGGACTGGTGCCACGGAACATCGGCTTTCGCCTGTCCGATGTAAAAGCGCTGCACAACGGACGTGTATTCCCCTTCGTCCGTATTTTTTCTCCTCTCTCTCTCTCTCTCTCTCTCTTTCTCTCTCTCTCTCTCACTCGTTTTTCTCTGTTCTTTCTTCTTCTTCCCCGTCGTTTCTTCGTTCATTTTCTTCCTGCTTTTCTTTCGTTTCTTTTGATCGATCGACAGCGGCACAAAGTAAGCAGGAAAGGAACAAAATAGATGAACCAAGCAAAGCGGAAAAGAGACATGTCCCGCGGACGTACGGCGTACGGCGTACGGCTCGTCCGTTTCGAAGAATAAATTGGAACACGGTTGCGACAAACTCCACAGCCCGACTTTAAAGTAAACTATTGTTGCTCTCGAATCTACTTCCGGGCATCGAACGGAATTCCCATCTACGAAAACACGAACCCTCTGAGGCGAAAACACGATTCGTTCGACTCGATTTCTCGCTGGATACGGGATCCAACCTTCCCATTGACCTGTTGCGAATTAGTCGAATTAGTTTTTTTCTAGTGAGTAATAGAATGTAGTGTAGCAGAGAAATAGGGGATACTATTAAGTTCCAGTTCAATTTGGTGATTTAGAAAATTTCGTAATTTTCTGTATTTGTTTTTAGATTACTCTTAGAACTTAAGGATTTAAGATTATCAGAGGAAGCTAAATTTACGCAACTTTTATTTACACTATTTTATTGCATGGTTCTAAGTGGGTTAATCTTGTTAAAGAGAGAGCGAAAAAATCGTAAACATAGTTTTAAAAAACTAAACTCAAATTTGATTGCTCGATAGATACTGTCGTATATCAGAAATCTTATATTAAAAGGAAAAAGATAGTTTACAACATTACACCCGCAGGAGTGAAGGAACACAAAGAAACGTTGTTACAAGTTTCTTTTCCCTAAGACGCATTCACGAACTTCGTACAATCGTGAAACTGTCAAATTCCGAACGGAGAAACTTGGGAACTAACCGAATTGAACGCATTACACAAAAGTTGTCGCCTAAAAGCATGTGAGAACTTGAGTAACATTTTCATGGAGCGTTCGAACGGGGAACTATCGACCATTTCCAACGGTACATGAGAAGAATTTCGCGCGTGAAATTTCAAAGTCGGGAAGAAATGAATTTAAATTGGCCGTTGGTGCGACGGAAACGCCTGGGGGAAAACTTGCCGGCGAAAAAAAAAGGTTAATATGCAAACGACAGGTTCGACAGCCGGATGGTTTAATGCGGCGGGTGCTCGTCAAAAGGCGAGTGAAAATTTAAATAAACGTTTACGTCGACACGCCGATTGATTTTCTGTTCCTCGTTTAAAATTCAAATTTTCCATTAACGAACATCTCGTAAAAGAACAGGCATTTGTTTTAGCGAAATAAACGGTAGCTGAGAAATCTTTTGAAATAAAAACTTGGAATTAAAACATTAAAGACCGATAATAGACGAGTACGACACAAATATCACAAAATGAAATCCACTTGTCTCATTGCATTTCTCAAATAATGTTTTTCAATTTCGGAGGAAGAAACTATGTCAGATTATTCTATAATTCAAGAAACGTATGGTGAAAGAAATTCGAACACCATGTACGCAATATAGAGGAGCGGAATGTGAAATTGTCCTATGGAAACTACTTTACAGAAAGCTGATGAATATCGAGTTTAAATCGAGTACGATTAATTTATGGGTATACGAAGAACCCGGTTGCTGAAAGCTGTCGGTTCTTGTCCGGCAGCAACTTTTCCATGCCAATATATTTGCGTTATCGCGCGGGATTGGAGTTAATCGGATGAAAAAGTTAAATATTGTCGTACCACGCTACCGGCCGTTAATATTCCTCCTGCTGCTTAATTTTCGCGTTTAGCACTTTTAGCAGGTCGCGTGTCAGAGCAGTGGATTTGCAACTTTCCTTTTCATGTCGGGAAAATCGTTGTGGAAATAATGCGGAACAACGAGAGGTCAGGAAGTTTAACGAATGCAGAGAAAGCTACACGTGTTATCTTGATCGAATTTATTTCAATGAATTAATGCCAGAATTACGGTTATTGTGTATGGGTATTGATTTTAACAGCCCATTGAAATTATGCAAATATTCATTAACCTCGGGATAAAATAAATATCATATCACTTTAAAAGAACCGATCACGAAATCCTTAAAAATTCTTCGCTTTAAGAAAACCTGACCTTCTTCATATTACGTATTTCATATTTTCTACATTTCCGAAAATAACAGAATTAATTAAAACGCCCGAACTTAGTAGTAGAATTATTAAGTAGAACTATTAAGTAGAAGTACTCACCTTCGTTGTCGATGGAGAAGATCCCAATGCCGTCGCCGCCCCTAATGGTGTATCCAATCCTGGAGTCTCCTCCTAGCGGATCCGCGTCCTTAGCGCGCACAGTGGTCACTAAAGTCCCGATTGGTTGATTTTCAAATACACTCGCGGACACGACGAAATCATCGAACACCGGTGCGTGTAGATTCTCGTTTACGTCGACCATTTCTATGATAACCATTGTCTCGGAGGATAAGGATGGTTCACCTCTGTCTTTCGCCACAATCGTCAACGTATGCACTTGGCGCTCCTCGAAGTCTAAGCTTTGGGTGGTCCTAATAGTGCCGGACATTTTATCGACTTTGAAGTAGCCCTCGCTCTCCATGGCGTCAGACAGGAAGTACTCGATGTCGCCACCGGATGCCTCGTCGGGATCGGTCGC